TTACCAAGAAGGCGCTAAAGACACAGCAAAAGAATTTCAAAGGTACAAAACACCACACATTAGGGTTGCTTAAAGTAAAAACAAAAAATTGGTGAATCGTTGGCTGTTTGTAGCTTGTATTAACGTTAATAAAATGAAGAGCAATATCTTTAAAGTATTTAGGAAAAAAAATTGGAAAAAATTTATATGGCAACCATGTTATTAGCTTTGTTGGTAATAAAACAAGTTGTTCAGCTTTCTCAAATAAATTCTATAAATTTTAGTTTCCATTTCTATGTCGTTTATGAAAATACCTTCTTTATCACCTTCTGGCAACTCTGTTAATATTTTATATTATTCCAACAGCTTATACTTAAATTTCAATTGGACACTTTTCACACATAATTAATTAAAACTTCACAAAAACAACATGCGACTACCTGCGTGGAAAACTTTTCCAAACCTAAAGAAATATTTCTAATTTGCGACCTGATTAATGCGTGCACAAGCATTCAAAGAGACAGGCATAGAATTTCAGTATTTCAATATACTCGATCCCATAATATTTATTGAAATTCTTTGGCGTCGGTGCGCATATTTGGCCGTCCGTTCACTCCCTCCGCCGTTGCTAAATATTTTTCAAATCGCTGCTGTTTCTTCTTATTTACATGCTTCCCCTATTTATTTATCTTCGATTAGCGATAGTTGCTTTGTTGCCGAAATTAATTCACTTTGAAATAGTTTCGTGCACTCGAAGGTGTATTGGTGTGGCCCAGGAAGACTGCAGTGCGTACAAAGAATGTCGAATCTGTTTATTGAGTGTCTGTCATGGGCGAGCGGCTGTTTTCGAATTTATTTTTCTACTCGTTCGCAGTCGCGCCGCCAATGCTCGCCGAGAGGAATGTAGGTGAGTGTGACATCAATTAACGTTTACGCAAATCAGCGGAGCAATGTGCTGACGTTGGCAGCTGTGGCAAAATATTTATCTGCATACCACTGACTAAATTTTTGTAATAAATGAAATCGGCATGAAAAAACAACAACAGCCTTTTTTTCAAACACATTCTCGTGCTTCTCTGTCTGCTTATTTGACTTCAGACAAACTTCGTGGCATTTTGTTCATTTTTTTGTGACATTTGTTGTTTTTCATTTTGCAATTATCCCAACCAATTCCTGCAACCGTGCGTTAGCTCATTACTTTTTACCGTTAGCTCAGCGACTACAGCAACATTCTTACGTAAGTTCTATCTCGAGCTGTTTGACATATTTTATTGCTCTTTTGCCTTGACATGTACTGTCCATTATCTGTCAAACGATCTATCTCTTGTAGGAAATTGACAAACGTCAGAGTAAATTGATGGCCGTTTTTATTAAATGAAAATCAAGCTGAGGCCAGTTAGAATCGCCAAAGCGTGTAAGCTGGTTTATTGCAGCAATTTGCTGACATTCCGTCGTTGGGTTGCGTTTTATTGCGCTTTTACAGCACAACAAGCTGATTCGCTTTATTAACCTTTTGTTTTTTTTTTTGAATGCGAGAAGGTAATTCGAATTTCGCGCGTGGCCGTCCTTTGGGAGAATTAAATTTTTCTAATATTGTTTCGGATGTTCTTTTTTGAAGATTATAATGGCGTTATCGTCTTTCTAAAGGGCAGGGATGTTTGCATCAATTATTTTCCGGAATACATGTGGGTCGACCGATTTTTGTAAATGGAATCAGAATAGCTTTGTAGATATCAGCAAAGTGTTCAAGTTAAGTTTGAAATACTTCCCACAGTTTTGAAAAATTAAATATACTTTAATATGGAAATGAGGAACCATTAAATATATGTAGGCGTACTAATAAAAAAAATGTTTAACCATAGTTGTCACCTTTCTAAACTGAAATACTAAAAATTATTGTGTCGAACAGAAATTATTTTAAAACAGCTTTAACTGATAATTGTTGGTAACAAAGTGCGCACTTATCAAAAAAAAAAACACGTATTTTGCCTAAAAGTCGCTGCCTTGAATAAAAATAATTTACCGGTTAATCATTTTGCCTGTGCTGCCCTCCATACGATATGGTATAAATAAATAAATACTTGTAGGCTCTAGTCTAACACGGCATAAATAAATCGGTGATATCTTGCATGCTATATGTACGATAATCATGCATACATACATACACATGTGGCCTCCAGTCGTGTAAGATGAATAAATGCTGGCAAGCAACCGAAATTCTTTCAAGAAATTATTTGCCTTACATTAAGTGGAAATGTCTGAAAGGGATGAAAAAAAACTAACAAAAAAGACATGAACATGCATGCAGAGTTCAAAAAAAAAAAATTAAAGAATACAAAATAATTTTGCAGCCTCTCACTTTTTATCTTATTCGGCATTTTCGGTTTGTGTATTGTATCGGCTAAAAGAAATCACGTTGCAAAGAATCCGAGTCGCGCACAATGTCGACCGAGCACACAATGATATGCCGTTGCGCCTAAAAGTATGCCTACACACAATTGGCAACGCATTGCATCATATCCTTCAATTTACAATTTACTTGCGAATCCTCATACAAAAAGGTTGGAATCATCGCTGATATTCAACAAAAGTGGAAAAGGAGTGGATGACAGAATTCCCGTGGGTTAAGTGTAGACGATGTGAAAAATATGGAGATATGTGTATAACATAGATGTATTTAATACATACATACAAATGCATATATGAAAGTTTGCGAAACATCAAGGCTGATATCCCTACCAAAATTGAAGCAACAACTCTGACAGTTTACCCCATTCCTTGAAGGAGGCTTAAACTAAAAGCTGCGCGATTAAGTTCGCATTATAATTATGCCATTAAATTGGCTGTAAAATCAACAATTTTTCTATATTAATTTCTTATGCAATAAAATGTAAATAAAGAAGCCTCACAACGTTTATTAACTCTCAGCCGAGGGAATAAAAGCAGAAAATTTGCATTTTCATAAATATTTTCTTCGCCGGCTCTTGACGTGCTCGCTGTCGTTTGAAACCATTGGGACAGTTGACATGCGGACTTCCGAGAAGGAGACATCCTTAGACTTTGTGTTTTCTCATTATATTTCTGCAAATACACACACTCCTTCATGGGATATTAGCAAGTGACATCAAGGAAAATGTCAAAATGCCTACTAAGTGTCCTGGTGAGTGAAGAATTTCGTATAAATTTAGCCAATTTTCCAAGCGAACTCCCACAAAGGTGCACAACACACACACACACGCACGTGAAAACCCTCTGCAACATGTGACGGCATATTTTATTAGGAGATTTGATTTGTTTCATCAAATAAATTAGTCGGAAATGAGAATCCGAGAAAAGTTTGAAATAAGTACTAAAATTTTAATTATATTTCTGCGTCAGTGCAGATTTGTTTTTGTTTTAAGTATTTTCAGCTTCTTCGTAATTAAATGTGCGAAAATTGAACTTCTTTGGTTTGAATAAATGGTTGAATGTCGCAAATTAAAATTCATTCGATTTTAAGATAAAGCCAGAAATTCGAACTCAACACAATCGCGTTTGTGCAGACAAATATAAACAGTAATTTTTGATGAAATATTCAGAAATATTTAAAAGTAATGCTTGTATCTTTTAGATAAATATACACGAAATATATTATTTTAATAAAGAACTTTGTAACACCCAGATGAAAATGTCGGAAACCTTATAAAGTATATATTTTTTTTAGATATCGATCTGAAATTTTGAACAAGTCCTTTTCTCCTCAAAAAACTGCTCATTTGTTGGAACCGCTTGTATCTGTATGAGTTTTATTTTGAGTAAAACAAAAAAAATCCCAAATATTGATTTTAATATTTTTTTTTTTTTGCTAATTTTTGGTTGTTGCGTTTTTTGCTCAAAAATAAGGTTAATTTACAATTTATTATAATATTAATCATTATCGTTGAAGAAAATCGTAGAACTCAATATGTAATCATTATTATGAACAAGGAAAAGGTACTGAGGGTTTGTAGATCTGCTTATTACCGTTTCCAATTTGATTTCTATGCGTAATCAGTTCTTAGCTGGTGTCACTGACGTGAGTGGCTTCAAAGACATATATTTAATGGCAAAGCCAAGCCCCTTGTAAGTTTACTCTTCCTCAAAGTCCTATCAAAATTCCCCCTTCCCTTCGACTCGTCACCACTGTCATTCACAGCCGTATTTGTAAATTTTAGTAGTTATATATAATAGTGCGATTCTAGTAGAGAAACCCCAAATTCTGGATCTATATGTGTATGTGTTAAGTGATTGATGCAACACATTGTCTTGACATTTATGGCATGCCAGCTCACACAATCAGTTAATAAAATTTCTCTCGTACCACATCCTTCCTTGCCCTGTTTAACCACAACACAATTTGCAAGTGATAAATGAGAAGTTATATGCGGGTCAGCTGTGATCTCGCTGATAATCATAATTAATGGTCAGAGTTGCACCCATTTATCGAGTGGGAGAAAGGGAATAAACCCAATTTCCCATAACTATCGAAATGTGTTGCTCAGCATTAAATGCAACATAAGAAATATTTAAAAACAATTACAATGAAAATGTGAGAAATACTTTTTTAGTATACAGTGCGTACTAAATGCGTGATTCTTAAGAGTAGAAAATATTCTATGATCTTTAGTTGCAATGCAGTTTTGTTGCATATTTTTCCTAGTAAACTTAGTTGTAGTTGCCTTGAAAACTTTTTAGTAATGCGTAAAATAGAGTATTCATGAAAAACGATTCCCAAATATAAATCACTCCTAAATATGCGGACAAAAAAATCATTCAATTCTGGCAATTAAATACGAAATTTCACGTCTAAAATTAATAGTATTCAAAAATATTTTCAAAATTTTCGAACTGAAATCTCTTCCCGGCTACTTAGAGTCAAGCAGAATGTTGATTATGCATTATTGTCGAAAAGTGTTTCAACATTGTCGTATATCACTTATACCAAACTGCCTCGAACTCCTTATTACTCATATCTTACGCCGTACTTTCTCTCTCCCCCACAGAAACCAGAAAAGACAAGACTGATGCACCACACGGTGGTAATGGCGCGCTATCACCCAATACCGAACAGCCATCAGGTCAGAGTTCAATGCTGCCACCACCCGGCGGTGGCAATAGCGGCACGCAATCGAATCACACCCACGTGACACACGTCACTGGTGGCGGAAATAGTGGCAACAGCGGCGGTCGTGATCAGCATTACGGCACTCTTCGCACACAGAATTCCAAATTGGAACGCCCCAATACGCTCGGCACCAATAAGGTGTCACGTCGCGTAAACATTTGTTATCATAATGAGCATTGTAAGTTGCTTACACTACATTTTTGGCATATCACACTTGTTTTGCATTTAAGGATTTTCGAACTTATGACCGAATTGTATCTGTATTTGTACTCGTCGCAGTACAACCTGTTAAATATTCACCGTACTGTTGTGTGACCTCACCTATAAGTGTCTCAACTTTCATAGTTCCACTCATAACAACTAAACCACACACACGAACTCTCACTCTCGCACACTCCTACTACTCATGAACTCACTCTGTAGATAGCAATTTGAAAGCTGGTGGGCTTTGTCTAGCAATAAAACTTCCCTCCATAGGTATTATGAGTATTTTGCTGTAGAAATATGTAATTGCATTTTTTTTTTCAAATTAGCCAGTATCTTTTACCACTAAGCTACATATGTATATGTACAAGTATGTGGCCTTAAGAGCTTGTTTAGATCTCCGTCGCAGTGCTAATTTTAATTGAAATATCTTTTTCCCTGTAAAATTAACTCAGAACGTCTTGTAAATATTTACACAAAATTGTGAAGAGTTCGCAAGTGGCAGTCCTCTCTGCGGCATTGCATGTGTGTTCGCTCACACACACACACACACACATACAGGCAAAGTACAATTCAATTATGAAAATTGCCTGCACTATTTGCATTTTTGAGCCATAAAACTGCAGTAAAGCGATTATGCCTGGCGGAGAATAAATCAGTTGCAGTGTGCCAAGCATTTTATTGCACAATTCGCTGGTATAAACAAGTACGTAATGTTCAAGGAAAAAGTGAAAATTGTAGATGGCTCTGAAAGCGAGATGGTTTTACCCAAGGCTCCACAAAGTCTTTGCTGCACTATGTGGTTTAGTGGACGCAAATGTTACAAGGAAGCAAGATGATGAATGAGTCAATTAACAAAGTGTAGACTAATGGACAGAATGACAGCGATCGGTGATTATTATTATATATGCTTTTGTTGTTATTCCGAGTAGTTTTTGGCGTTGTTTTAAATTAAAATTAAAATAAAAATAAAAAGACCGTTGCAAACTCTTCTGACTCCAAGAATATCGTTGAATAATTAAGCGAATATTATAATTATTTTTTTAAATTTTTAGTATACAAAATAAACAACTTTATGACTATTTTCGAATAATACTTTACCTTAAGTAAGCTATAACTTGTACTTTACTCTATATCATATTATTTACAGCTAAATATGCATTATCCTTAAGCGAATTCACATGATTACATAACTGTAAATTATTCTAGTGTATTTGTAGTGCTCTATCACTCATTTCCCTGCGCTTATTATCATCTACTCTTTTTCCATTCTGTTCGCTTTCAGATCCCGATGGCGGCGCTGCAGTGAACAATGTAATCGGCGGACCGCCCGGCAGCACACCGCCACCCTACACGGCCGATGGTAAAATGACGAACACCCAAGGTGGCGGCGGCAGCGGCAATGTGGGTGCTGGCGGTGTTATGCTCTCCGAGTTGCCAGAACCACCGATACCCGTATCCGAGATTGGTCCAATCCCACCGCCGCCCATGTTCTCCACACCGAGTCCAACATTGATAGCTGGGCGTGCTCATGGGCCGGGTGCTATGAATGATCAAGGTTATCAGGATTATGATTATGATGGTAGGCATAACGGTTATAAATTGCCAAACAAATGTACATCGCATACACATATGCAAATGTGTCTGTATGTAAGTGCATGTTGCCACAGGCATTCGTTGTTTATTGACTGTTGTTAGTGATGAAGGCGAGGCGAGGCGATGCCATAATTTCGATAAAGCGATGCAATAAATCTCACAGTTTTAGTTCATATTGGATAACAGTAACGCTATTTACACTATATTTTATGCAAGCAACGATTCGTGCCGTGGAAGTTCATCAAACATTATAGAATTAGCACTTCTCGGCTAAGATTGATTGTTATTTGTTAAGTAAACAACTGAAAATTTTGTTGTTGTGCTAAATTTTTTTTAAATATTTAAATTAAAATCGTATTTAGGTATATAGCTATTTAACAAACAGATGCCTGCAACACTTTTTAGACTTGCAACTTAAAATAGCTTCGAGAAAGTGAGGTTAAATTATATTATCACATCGAGCATAAACATTCACTATGCGCTTCGAAAGAATAACGCAAAGTGGACTGCAACTACACAGATACATTTAGTTTTCTAAAAAAAATTGTATAATCATAATTGTGATTACGAATAATCTTCTGAATATATATTTGGCAAATTTAAATCAGATGCGCCAATTGACTGAAGCGCTCGTTGAACGACATATTTTTTAAACCGAATCTAGATTTATTTTTCAATATTTTATTATTTAGGAATAAATTCAAAAATTCTAGAATTAAGTTATAAGTTATCAAAACTCACTTTTTACACCTCATTTAATATCCCATAGTGCTTGTATCTCCTGTTAAACACGTTATATGTTTACCGTTGTATGTTTGTATGCTAACTACATTTGGTTTTTCACTACTTATTTGCCCATTAATGCTTCTGTACGACATTGTTTCATTATCCTGTCGTGACTCTGTTACGAGCCTTGTTAAAGCGGTTTTTATTGCGCAATACTATATTAACTGAATGCGCGCGTAAACCTTTTACCGCTAAAGTGTTAATGATGGTTGCGAGTGTCGCCTTATGATGGGCTCTGCCTCCCTATTCATTTCCACGTAGCACCATTAAGAAGCTCTTTGCATTTACGAGTGTGATATTTTGAGTTGTATAATTTTTATTCACCATGCCGGATGTAGGCTTTGACTCAGTTTTTACTTAAAATTTTCGTTATTTTTCCCAATAATACTTTATGCCACACTCGTAGTACTCATAAAAAAGTTTTAATGTAATGTAACGATGCCCAAAGGGTATTGCTGTTGCAACATTGTAGTCTTCTTCCCACTAAACGCTAGTCACCATCAACGCTTGTACTGTTAACCCGGCGTACATTTGTCTACATACAATCATTTTTTTTTTTGTTATTGATTTATTGCATTTTCTCGCATTTGGTATTCATCTTCCAATTCCTTTGTTCGCACAGATCAAGAACCTGACGACGACCAGCTAGACTCGGATGAGGAATATATGTTCCAGTTGCGGCAGCAACAACAACAATCATTACATCCCAATCATGTCGATACACAGCGCGTTGAGGAAATTCCAGCCAAAGAGCCAAAACCAAATGCAGTTCCTCTTAAGTCGGCGCTGAAGAAGAAGCCCGGCCAAACGTCCACCTCATCGCCGGCCACGCCCACACAGGACCACAGCAATGCCAATGGCAATGTGCAGCAAGGTGGCGGTGGCGGCGGTCCAGCAACATCGGCTAGTCAGCGCCCGCTGGTGGTGCGTCAAGACGCAACAAACAGTTATTCGCTCAAGTGAGTATATGGCGGCATTTTCGGGAGTGGGTAGCGTTAAATTTATGTACATACGTGGGTATGTGTTAAACAAAATATGTTAAATCAAGGCATAATGTAAGAGTAGAAGGAGAAAAATTTTAAATTTAGTAAAAATCACACATAATTTATAAAAAAAAAACGTTTTTTTTTTGTCATGTGCCTTTGCTGAATTGAGGTTATGCCTTGAAAAAATGAAGTGTTTTTACAATTTTGGGTAAAAATCAACTGTCCATGCATAAAAAAATTAAACTTTTCTATCATATTTCTCAATTTGTATAATTTTTTCATATGAATACTATTTCGAGCTAACTCATGCCTACGATTTACTATGGGTTCTTGATATATTTTACATTTCTATATGCTCAGTAATAGTCTCACACCGATCGCGTCAAAATGTCTGAAATGCGAAAATGCGTTCAAAATTCATTGGTGGCATTCGTCATCTAGGTTCAAATGCATTTACAAGTTGCTGTAACTATCTTCGTTTTTTTTGGATGACGAATTTTCGATCTTTCATTGAGCACTTTACTGACGCCCTTTACATTATTGGTAATCCATGTAAATGTAGTTCTAAAAATAGTAAATAGTTTTCAAGTAAATAAAATGTCTATAAATTTCAACCCAAAATTGTGAAAACACCAAAATTTTTGTAAAATAAATTAATGCAAATTTACTGCCCAATTTTAACTCGGTTCACCAAAAATATATATAAACTCCTTACGCAACGTAGTTGTTCCAACCTAAAGAGTTTTTGTCCATTCCCCTTTTGATATATATTAAGAACAATCCTTCCTATTCTTGCATATATTTTATGGTTAATTTCTACGACTTCCCTTTGTGTCACAGATTTTATAATAATTTTAGCCAAAAAAAATAAAAATTTAACTTTGTACACATTTTTTACTAACCAAAAAACACAATGCCCAACGTGCGAAACCTTTCCTGCAATTAAACAAAAATCTTGATTAATTTTATATACTATACCTTCTTCTTTTCTTTCTTTTTCCTACTTATTTTCACTCGCCAACCAAACGCAAAAAAAAATCTAATGAAAAATAAAAACAAATGCAAATCCAAATTGCACCAAAATCGATCGACAAATCAACATAAACAAAAAAAAAAAACGAATATAAAAACAAAAAATCGGAAACCAAAATCCACCGCATTTGTTTTTTCACATTCGTTCTACCCCCGAATTAGGCCAATACTACGACCACGGATTAGAATATGGTAATAATTTAGATTATGTTATCAATTTGAATGGTTTCTTGTGTGTATTTACTTTCTCACTCTCGCTGTCTGTATCGCTGTCGCTGTACACTCACACAAATCCCAAATAAACAACAACACCAATAACCAGCTAACCGAATAACCATACTTTTGGAATTAATTTCATGAATATTTAAAGAATATCAAGCTGACTTCAGCCGATGTTTCGATTTTGCGTTCGTATTATTATAATTTATTTATTTATTTATTTGCACGCTGACCACTGTACTCTACCACCACCTCCCCCGCTCCCTTTCCCCACTCTACTCGACCATTATACTTTGCCAATTTCCAAACATGTAACTAAACAATTTATATTCCATCGATGTAATTTATGATGCATAACGGTTTGATGTGTTCACGTCCCTGTCCTTTACTAACACCAATGCGAGTGGAGAGAATGTGCACTTAAGTGTATTGAAGCATGATCTTGACGATACTCGTATTTCATTGATAGCGTTTTTGTTTTTGTAGTCCTTATTTACCGTAGTAACTGTGCATGATGAAGTGCTTACAATATTCAATAATTTTTTGTGTGTGGAGCGTGAAGTAAACTTTACTTTCATTTGTTGCAAATATCGTTATAAAAAATATATACCTAAAACATATCGCATTTGAGTGAATTTTTCGAATAAATTTATGAGAAAAAGTTTTAATGAAAGTGGTCGCTCCTCATTGAGTAATGGTAAATCTCCGAAGGTGCTTCTACCACGAAGTGTCATCATATCATTCACTACAAGTGAGAGCAAATGCGCGATGTAAAATCTTGTTATACTCTGTATCTCTTCACTCTCTTTGACTTGTAAAGCATGCAGTTCTTTGTTTTATAAAACAGCGATCTACAAGTATGTATGAAAGCTTACCTCATAGCCAATGCGATACGAAGGTTTTACAACATGGTTCCCCCCTCCATATAGCTCGAACAGTTGAGGTTGGTGTGTATACAATGGCGTAGCGAATGCGTCTGAATGTCGTCTCTTCAGGAATAAATTGCAAAAATTCCACAGTACCTCGGTCTGCAATGAACCTCTGCTGCTGTCCAAGAGAACCCAATTTACTACATTGTTTATTTCCGTAAATTTCAACTGAGTTCCGTTAACCGGTGATTATTGAGCACTGGCAACGCTGTATCAATAAATTAATTTTAAGATTCATACATATCTACATGTATATAATATACTCGTATCTCTAATAAAACTCTAGACATTTATGTACTCTAAATCATTGCTATTTCATTTTTCTTTTGTTTTTACTTTTTCGGTACTGCCAAACTTATTTGATTTGTTTGCTTTCAATATGTGTCCACTTAATCATAATATTTGAACAAATTTTGCGACACCCTTCGTCACTGTCAACTTTTGGCATTCGAGAGAACCAAACAACATATTTAACAGGAAATGCTGCTATATATGTATGATTATAAGCACACGTGCAATCCTAAAAAATTATTTTAAAAGTTTACATACAGTTGCGTGCAAGAATTAGAACGCTTTAATTTTGCTTAAAGCCGAAAAATAAAATAATAAGAATTTAGTGTTAAATAACGTAAGAATTGTTGTCCCAAACTAGGTGTTTATGGTGATGACTTGGGCCTTATTATCCGTCAAAGGCTGTAAACTGCACCAAATTCAACCAGAAACCTAATTCTGTTCCATTTTATATCAAATTACCCCCTCATTATGCTCTTCTTCTTATTCTCTCGCAAATATTTAATTGTTATAAACACCTACTGTTAGCTTTTGTACTACAGTAATAGTTTCTAATCAATTATTATTTTCAAACTGGCATGTAACTGTAAAAGGAGCTGTGACACAATATTTAATTTGCACGTAAGTGTGTGTGTTTCGCTTTACATGTAACTTGGTGTTTTACTTGTTTTTCGTAGATCATAGAAATACACTTACTAGGAAGCTTGTATGCTTTAATTCTACTCTAACGGTATACTCATGCCAACATTGTTGATTTGAACGAAATTTCGAAAAAAAATGCATCTTTATTCAATTCAACAATTTTTCATTTCAAGCGCAACCAAGCGAGAGCTTTCCAAGTTCTTTTTTACAAGTATATTCCTTATTTTGTTTTTTATTTTTCCAAAGAAAAATAATTTATTTATTTGCGGGTATGTGTGCTAAGCAAAGTATGATTTGCATCATGTTTATATATGGGTGTGTGTGTGTGTGTGTGCAGTTGTAGTTTGCAAAGGAAGGGTATTCATTCTGAACAAAAATATTGTGAATTTTCATTTGACTTTATTGGCACGTTGCCGGACTAGTTTTGCTTGTGTTGCAACAACAAAGGCGTAAGCGGCAATTTTCATATTGAATTTCAAATTATTTGCTACATTTCACAAAATCGCATAAATATTAACTTGATGCAGACATTTATTGTGCATTCTAGAAGTTTGGCAGAGAAAGTCATCAGGAGCGTTTTGCAGCAGTGTTCTGAGTGGAGTATTTGTGTACAAATAAGTTGCATATTTAAATGTGCATGTGTACGTGCGTAGAACACGAAATAAGTTGGTTCAGCTTGCTTTGAGTAGATTTCTGCTAGAAAAGTTTACATTTTGAATAGTTTGAGTTGCAATGGAGGCGCACACAGAACACAAAGAAACATCATATACTCAAAAGGTGGTGTATGTGCGCATATGAGATTAATGTCATAAGTGTAAGCCAGTATTACCGTAAGACTTGTATAAAGCCAATTGGAAGTCTTTGCTGATGATTAAAGTTCAATCAAAAAGGTCTAATAACATCTCCAAGATGTTCTTATTTCAATTAATCTTAAATAAAAATGCAAGTGCTAAATACCTTTAAACGCTGAGTTTGTAACTCCCCGAAAAAAACGTCGGAGACCCTTACAAAGTATAGATATAAATGATCAGCGTGACAAGCTCCGTCGAGTCCATCTGTCTAGTTAGTCCCTCAGGTTTTGGAGAAATCGATCTGAAATTTTGCAAACGCGCTTTTCTCGCCAAGATGCTGCTCATTTCTCGGATCACTATGGCATATAGCTGCCATACAAACTGAACGATAAAACCAGATTCTTGTATGGAAAATTTGCTCTTAATTTGTGAAGCGTATTATAGACTGCAGTATGGTGAAACCGAAGTTAATGCTTTTTATTTTATTTTTTTTGTTTCTCCGACTATATACAGTAATAAATATGTATGTATAAGTGCGATGTATTAGATTATAATAAGTTTGAAGTGCTTTTACCTTCCTAAATTTTAAGCTTCTTCAATAAGCAATAATTGCTTCTCTTGTCAAATTTATTGAAACCACATTCATACATGCAACCATAAATACTCAACAAAAGTCCTCAGCCAGAACTTACAACTTTGCAGATGTACATACATGTATACTGTTATATAGCCGAATGCGTATACATTTATACACACGTTCATGTGTCCGCGTGAAAATACGACATGCGTCTTTTACTCACTCGTTTCCGCCGCCGACGCCATTCGGCGTGTTAAGTGCTCTTAAATTGTTTATGTTGCATAACCACCGTGCCCCAAAGTGTGTTGTGCGCTGTAAATTCAGTAAACAAGTTTGCACGACACCCAATTACCCATCCGCATCCGCACACACATACACACACGCGCCTATAAGTCAACCCACGCTGGTGGAGACCGCTACAGTAGCCATTCACATTCACGGAGAATGCAACAGTAACTTATGACGCGCATTCACACACACGAAAGTTAAATATTAAATATCCGCACGCATGCGTGTACGTGTATGTGTGTAGTCGTATATTTTGAGCACCTTTTCCTTTATGGCCGTACCGAGTTGCCACACCGTCTGTCACGTTAATAAATATCCTGTTGCGCGGCGCTGCTTTCGTTAACCTTGCGCCCTTTTAGAGGCTTTGTCTATGTGCCACGCGCTGGAAATGGCTCAAGCACTCATTTTTCAACCTTTTTGCCAAAGAAATCCAATAAAATGAAATAAAAAATCCGTGGAAACGCTCGTGCGCTTTGTGCTCGGCAGCATATAACTACAAGTATGTATGTAAATACGTTTGCTGTAGCATAACTTTGGTTCCGCTTGGCGCATTCCAAATTTCGCGCTTTCGGAATGCTTTCTTAAAATATTCCTTTTATGACTGCTGCATATTTTATTTTTAATTTTGGCATCGTAAGTGTGTGCAAACGTGTTGCTTTCGATATACGCGTATGCTCACACACACACACACCCACACACACACACATACATATGTGTATAACTCGCAAATCATAAAAGTTGTGCGGAATTGAATTGAAGTACCCATAAATTTCGAAACCCATTGTTGGTGTTGTGGCTCCTTTGACGTGCTTGTATTGTGACGATGATAGGTGCTTCGGTGGTGGGGGGCACCCTGTGATTTACAGCGGATCATTCAGCTTTTAATGGAAAAGTTGTGCACATCCGGAGCATTGAACGCTCTCACTTTTTCTTACGCGTATATTGTTAATATAAATACTGACAGCTCATTTACTTTTTTCGAATTTAATTCAGACTTATTTTCTGTTTTTGCTTCAAGCGTTCAGCGCGCTGAGCTCATTTAAAACTGAAACTGATATTAAAATAAACAACAAAAATGCTTTAATTGTATTTAGTCACTGACTGTCATTTAATTTTATTTGCTAAAAATAAAAATTGCATCAGTTAGAAATTAGAAATGTTAACATCATGTATTCCCAAAAGATTTGTGTGATGCTGATGTGCTCCAGTTAGACGCTCATGGCCCAGGAGCACTGAAGAAGTTAAGAGTGCTAACAGTTCTAATTTGTATTGATCCATTGTTGTCTACTTGAACTATTGCATACTTTTTGTAATGGAGTAAATACATTTTCAGTGGCATGTTGTATTGAGCAACAGAGCGTCTATATACAATAATTATCTTTGAAAATGCTGGCATTCTCGCTTCACCCCACCTCGAGCTAACGATTCAAATATATCCAACATTTAGCATATTTAACAACAGTAGTATTTACAGTACAGAAGCGCCTGAAAAGTAATTTACAGCTAAAAAAAAATCGTTATCGTTATCGTTCCTGGGCTCAATTATGAAAAATCTCACAGAATAAACAAACCCAATTTTTTATTATTATTCAGAGAACTCATTCTAAGCCTAGTACGCTAACTTATCTCACTTATAATGCTTCCTTCCAGCTCATTGCCCTAAAAAAATCGTTTGCTTCTACAAGAAATATGAAATTAATTTATTTTAATTTTAGGTATTTTTGTTGTTGGCGATTTTTTATTTATTTGCGAATCGCAAACACTTTTTCATTTGCAACAATTTTCATTCGCGAAGGCAATTAAATATATATTCAATTTCCATGTAAAATTTATGGTAAATCGTATAATGAAATATGTATATGCTTGTGTGTGTGTGTGTGCAAAATGTTGTAAATGTTGTTAGTGCAAGCGTCCGGGCCCTGCTGCGACAGGAAGGAGCCTCGGTGTTTTCCTGGAACATGTGAGTTCACTTCGTTTTATCTCCGCCTCGCAATGCTCATTAAGTACACCAAACTTAATGCTTGTTAACTTAAGCCCTCCAAATATATGCAAATATTACCGAATATACGCGCACACACACACACGCTTGCCGTGAGTGTGGAGTGAATAACTCTGATAACCAGGCAGAAACATGCACAGGTGGCTGCGGCACGGCATTTAATATATGAGTACACTGCGTGCAAAAAATTATCGCACATTATTGGTTTTGCAAAACATAGCAGTGCTCTTGAACAAAAAACGCTGAAGATGATTTATTATACTATTTTATTCAGACTCTGAAAGCCATACATTTGATCAGGCTTTTGGATTGTGGTTTCCAGTTTGCGCTCAATTTGTGCAGGAAACTTAGAATAACAGCAAATTTAGTCGTTGACAAATTTCAAGTCTGTGAGCTTTCGCATGCACTGTGAGTTGGGCCGGTTGACTTCATGTCTTCGCTTTCGGATGCGATAGTAAGGCGAACATATTCACGTCCAGGAAAATATGCATTTCTGAAAGGATATTAGTGTGCTCTCGAATTTCAGCAGCAGACTCACTGACTTTTATGGTGTCTGCACATTACACACACACACACTAGCACACAATTCATTTTATCTACATTCATCATACATTTATCATTTCACTTTAAATGTCGTCAAAGCCCAAATAATTTTACGCTCAGTATATTTGCATGTCAACACACACACATACACACGCACTTCATATCTCACGCGTCCTGTGCACAGCCAACGGGACACAGGTAGAAGAAGGTTCAGAGCAGGGCGGCTGACACATTCATTTCCGCATTGCTGACACAGTTTTAACTCCTTTTTGTTTTTGTTTCATATTTTATTTAACTTAGCCGTCGGGGAAGAACCCGCTGCCAAAAGGGCTTGTGGGGGGGCTTTGTATGGTAGCCAGATAAATGATAAAAAGTATTAAATCCTTTGAATATTTCAAATTGCTGGAAAAGGGGAGAAATCTCATATATGTTTACCATATATAGGAAAAAGAGTTAATTTTTTTAAACAGTTATTATAATTTTTAATAATATTTCTGAAAAATTTCTTTTTAAACTTTTATTTTAGAAATTGTAAAAATTACATATATTTGTGCATTCGAGTATATTTCTAGCATATTTTAAGTTTACCTTAGTTTCTGCATGTATGTTTGTATGTGTGACAGCCCTTAGAAATCACTTCCAAGCACACAGCCGCATGCTAAATGGTGAATAATTTGTGTATTTGTGTTTTATTTATGTATTTGTATGTACTCTTGTAACACGCACGACAACAGCACTTGCAAGAAAGAAAGAGAACACACACACACACACAATAAAAAATATAAAAAAACACTACATTAAATTGTAATCAAATAAATCATGGCAAAACGTTTTACTTATCTCTTCCACACTTTTGTTTGCTTTTTATTTCAAACCAAAACAAAAACAACATTTCTATTGCGCAGCAGGCAGCAGGTGTTCAACATCAATTTGCCCTGCACCGTCGAGAACAAGGAGAACACTCGGCCGTTTGTGATACGCGAGAACAGTAGCGATAGCGACGAGGGTGACGGGCGCATACTCTATCGCGAGGACGACAATGACCGACAGGCGAAGATTGCGCGCAAAGAGTCACTGTCGCTGAAGCTGCAATTGCGACCCGACAAGCAGGATCTGATCAATCGCAATATCCTGCACCAGGTCACCGATAATGAAATCAAGGAGTCGAAGGAGGCCATTGGCGCACGTCTCATACGCCGACTGTCGATGCGACCCACTGCCGAGGAGTTGGTGGAGCGCAATATTTTAAAGAGTGAGTATTTCGATGGATAGCAAATTGTCAAAGCATACTACCGTTAATGCCGATGTATTTGTGTATTTGCGTTGAGTGTTAATTGCGTGAATTTATATAATTATTGTTGTATATTATTTCTTATTGGTTCAGCACAATCACCCGCCGAAGAGAAGAAACAAAAGGAGGAGAAGAAATCGTATTTGTTGCGAAAATTGAGTTTCCGACCCACCGTCGAGGAGCTGAAGGAGAAGAAAATCATACGTTTCAACGATTACATTGAGGTGACACAGGCGCACGACTACGATCGGCGTGCGGACAAGCCATGGACAAGACTGACGCCGAAGGATAAGGCTGCCATACGCAAGGAATTGAATGAGTTCAAATCATCGGAGATGGCGGTGCACGAGGGTAGTCGGCATTTGACGAGGTAAGTTTATTACCCTGAAAAGGGTATATTAAGTTTACCACGAAACTTGTAAAGACGGAAACCCATAATGTAAGCTGTGCAGTTGTCGACACTGTCGATATGGTACTAATATAGCATATAGCTGTCATGCAAACTGATCGATCAAAATCATGATACAAATGTTTTTATACGTTTTATGCTATCTGAAATGCACCTGTGAAGGGTATTATAGCTGTGCTCCAGCCGAACTTAACTTTTTTTTAATCATAAGTATATGTTTTCATCCCTTTGAACCACAAATTCAACTGTCGTAGATTAATTGAAGTAAGCATAGTAGGATTGAGAGAGATTAAAATAACCAAAGAAGTAGAGTTTAAAGCATAACGCAGTTTGTTGTTTCGTTTTAGAGACAGTTGACACATTGTTTCCAAAAGAGCCGCTTAATTTAGAAATGATGCCAGCAAAAGTCTGTGCAAATTTAGCCGGTTAATTTTTATCCAGCTTTACTAATTTTAGGAATACTGTTTTAAATTTGCTTACTTTTCTTAAACTCGAAAGCCAGCTATTTTAACTTCAAAAATTCATTTTGTTTTATTTTTTAAATTTCCACGTTTTACATGCTCTCCTCCGCTCCTCTCTGAAGAGCCTCAACCGCAATGCATCATTTCCGTTTATGTAATTCTCTCTGTCGGTGGCTTTCGCCTGTCAATTGGCTTAATTAAAAAGTCATTTGGGCATTACTTTTGCGGACAAAAGACCACTAAAACCATTGCCGTTGGTTCAGCTTAAAATGCCAACTATTAAGGCCCCAAGAGGCAGGCGAGTATTGTGCCAAAAGCAATCCCAAGAGCGCATCACACACACACACACATCGAAGAAAGCCAAGTCAAACGACTCGAAAGCTTCACATGATTGTGTGGTTGTGTGTGTGTGTGTGTGTGCTGCAGTTAAAGTGTGAAATGGACAATGTGTATAAATACCACAATTGTTGTAACGACACAGTTTAGTGTTGTAGAAGAGGAGCAACACACACGCTCACCTAAAGACAGACTCTAGGACGTACGTGAAGAAACAAGGACAAAGGGGGAGAGATAGGAGATTTGTGAAAATGTGTAAAGCACGAAAAAGTTTAATTTCAATGTCACTTCCTGTCACACAATGCCACGTCGAGGGGCACATTCATTTCAAGCGCTCACCAGCAAATCCATTCAAGTTCACTTAAATGCACATAAAAGATGTGTTTTACTATATGCCCCAAATGTGGTGTGTGCAACTTAGGTGTCATGTGTGTCGTGTATGTTGCGCCGCCGCAGATACATATTCATGGGCGAGATATTTTGCCACAATTGCAACTAATGCAATAAAATGCAAGGCGACAGAATGCGAAGAAATTCGGAGTAAACATTCATTGTATTCGGATGTGACTGGAATAGGGCGTGTGAAATGAATGGCACAATGGTGGAAAATCCTGTTATCGCACAGATATAAGTGCATGAAGATGTAAGATGCACAGTCCGATGAACAATAAATCCTAGGTAATAAAAGTAATGTTTTTCGTTGCTGATATTTATGCATTGATCACGAATAACGGTACTTAAATCTTCCTCTCTATATCTCTCAGTATTGTCCAAACTATTCGGAGGCAATAAATTTTGTGAGGGAATGGTACAAAGGTTGTGAAGAAGTATCAAGCTAATAATACAAGCCAATCTCATAAAAAATATTCGAAAATTGAAGTTTAAATTAAAATTTTTTTTTTTAATAACAAAATATGAAAATATTGTTAGAGACATTTCCAAAAACATCCATAGTTAATATTCAGAAAAGTTTTAATGGCAGAATTAGAAATATACAGTTTTTCCTCGAAATTAAATCTACTTCCGGTATAGAGAATACTGTTTCTCCTATCTTCAGACAACCAGGATCATTTCTGCAAAACCGAGCAAGCGTGCATTCCCTATATCATGTCCTTACATACATACATATTCGGGACTTTGAAAGTTGCGTTGTGCTTTTACGCAAGGACACTCAAAGCGAAGCACGTGTAATATGGCAAGGCGGCACATCAACTGCCATCGCATGGGAATGTCGTTAAATGCATTGTTCAAATAAAGCTAGCAACTGCAATACATACGCCATATGCCAAAGGACCTTCATTCTACTACACATTCGAACAGGCACACATTAATGTATGTTTCACTCTTTGAGCACGTACACAATCAAATATACGAATGTGTTCAAAAAGAATTTGTCTTGCAGTATTGAAAATTACTCCAAAGTCCCCCAAAATAGTTTGGCAATTATAATGAGGGTGGCCATTAAAGCAGCGAACACATTGTTCATGCCCATCCAGTCTGTGTTTCGTATATATGTATGTATAAATAACTATATAAGTATATAAAATTGGAAAATTGGAAAAAGATAGTTTGTCCCTTGTCTTTCGCTTTACAATCTGCCTACACACTTACATATGGAGGCACATGCCCGTTATTTCCCAATTTACAATTTCTATTAACTTCTCTGACAGCCAATTTAAGCGGATTACAATTTTGCAACACAAACCCATTTAATCTAACTTTCTTTGACATTGTATTGGAAGTAAGAAAATTATAATTTAAGCTCGACAGTACTATTTGCACTTAACCCAGCCACGGGCTGGTTCATCAATAACCCGTCCATCGGTTTTTTTTGGCGTTTTATGCTACAACTGCCATTTATCTCCTCAATTTTGTGCAGATGCCACCCGTTTTGTTTAACTAAGATTATTTATTTATTTATTTTCGTTGTTATTATTACATTGAGCTCGCAAAACTGTTGCCGGTTTTCGGTTTACTCGAAGCGCTGCACCCTTCGGTTGAGCTGGTCGGCAAGCAATTTCCCAGCTGAGCGCACTCAATTGCTATTCGAAGCACACCAACCCTCAAACATATACATCGATATAGCCACGTGTGTTGTTTTGTGCTTAAGTGTAAGGTGTATGTGTAGTTGACTCAAGTTTTTGCTTGCTAAAAGGTCCACCAATTGATTCGGTATTTCTAACATCTCAAAAAGCCAACGTATCACCTCACACTTAGGTCCTGAACTGACTTTGGTAAATAATTTATATATAAGTAGGAGGCGATACATGTATTTATTTCACCTGTAGTCTACTTCGGAAAAGAAACTCGAAACAAGACTTCTTTACCATACAATTTTATTTACTCTCACAAATAAAATGCAAGTTTTCGCACAAATAAAAAGTTTATCTCACTTCTAGAAGTTGCATCGTCCTTGAATGTTTCGTCTGGAATTTTAAAGATTATGTATGTACTTATTTGTTAAACATTTGTTTTCGTGGTCTAATCTAGAACTTTGCACTTGATTTTGTCACAGTCCCACTGAGGAAGTGGCAGCGTGTTTTAGTTCTTCTGTTATTTCTGCGCGTATTTTGGAATTTCTATAAGTTCTTAAGTTTTTACGCTATTCAAACCAATAAAATATTAACCTAACTCTTTTCTTTCTCTTCTCGATTCTGTTTGCGGCAGGTTCCATCGGCCATGACAAATGCAAGGGCAGCAAACGACACTTGCAACAGCAGCCACGTCAGCAGCAACATCAGCGAAAAACTCATTTTCCAAATGCAACCAACACAATTTTGTGCTCGAACAGCAAAAGCGACAACAACAGCAGCAGCAAAAGTTCGAGCGTGATGGCATAAAAACGCGAAAATGAAATATAAGAAAATAAAAACAAAAAATTTCCAAAAAAAAAATTTAAAACTTCACAGAAAAATGGATAAAAAAATTGAAAAATGAAATGCTCAAAGACGGCAAAGCAAAATTGAAAAAAAAAACATAACAACAAACACACACAAAAATGTGAATTAGATTGTTGAAAAGAAATGAGCAGAAGTAAGAGGTTAGGAGAAAACAAAGACAAATTGCAAAAAATGGCAAATAAATTTCTATTTCTACAGTAAAAAGTAAATAAACGATAAAAGTAACAAAATACAACTGAAAATAAGTTAAAGCATAGAAGAAGCCTTTAGCAGGCGCGAGGTTTAAAGTAAAAAGTATAAACGCTAAGGAAGTAAGGCGTCCCAAAGCCAATAAATAAGTAAATAATAGAATAAAGTTGACGACAGTAGTAACAGTAACAAACGCAACAACAACAGCAACGGCAGTAGCAGTTTCTAACGATTTAGCATTTGGGGTTTCAACATTCAAAACTGCAGCGAAAGCATTAGCGAAAGCAACAAACAACAAACAATAATAAAATACACAAACAAAATGGACAACAGTGCTACTGAGCAACGCTTGTATAGCAACTTGTCCGGCTTTGCCGGGAGCTGAGCAATGCACATCAGCAGTAAATAGCTGTGGAAAAACGGCAACAAATCCACTTAGCGCCACGTCGGCAGACGAGCAGGACAGAAAATGTGCTGGACGGACGGACGCAAATTACCATGCTGTGGGGGGAAAGTGTGTTGGCAGCAAATTGCTTACCATGAGTTTAGACAGATAGTCAGAGCCACAAAATATATCCATTCCAATAAAAACATACGGCCACAACAACAACAACAACACCAGCAGCGACTAAAGCAGTTATGCAAACAATTTCGCCATGGCGCTAGTAATTTTCCACAACACTAACAACAACAACAACAGCAACAATCGTTAATGCCACTATTGACACTGATGCCAGTGCAGCTGTGCAACAACAAATCCAACAAAAAACTAAAAAAGAAGCCAGTAGAATTTTAATTTGTCAATTATTCCCTCGTAAAGTTGAATGGCGGCGCGCACTTTCGGACATTTGAAGTACACTAAAACATATTATTGTTATTTACATTGCCGACTCTAGCGCTCAGCCAGACGCTTATTGAAGCATGACGCAAAGTTTTCCACAGGCACTTGTCTACGAAACTGTTGCAGAAGAATTATCCACTTTCCCTTTATGTTCAGTTGCAGTGTTGTTTGTCTTTTGTATCGTTTGTTTACATTCTCCGCAAAATGATAGCCCCGAATATTTGATTATACATATGTATTCTATTCTAAATGTAATTTGTAACTAGCAAACGTAATTGTAATCGTACAATAAATTTGTTTTGTAAACTTAATATCTCTAAGAACAAATAAAAACGAAAAGTACTTACAGCAATGACAGACTTACGAAATAATATATTAAATTAGAACTTCGAAAACCCGATGAGGACACAAATACAAGCATGCACACTTACATTTGAATTGCTGCGAATATTTATGCTTGAGTCAATAGAATGGAACAGAACATTTATGTGAAGACGATGTGAAGAAATGGGGAGATTGAGTTAGTCGATTCGTTGTTCTATTAGGAGCACTAGCCCTTAACACCTAATAGTACTAAACATTTTCTAAACAAAATTTTTGAAAGTATTAGTGACCGTCTTTGGCCGAAAAAGTTCGGGGTTCTCTTTTATCATATACCACACATCGACATTGTAATGTACAGCCAAGCCATACTAAAAGCTTTGTACGAATTTCATTGAGTTTCTTACGGAACCGGCTCTGTAAAGTGTTTTTCGAATCGAAAAACTATGTTTTTCAACTTTTCTTCTATTTTTGTTTTTAATATTTTTACCCTTATTTACTTTCATCTCAGTCGTGAAAGGTTTTCACAATTTGCTTATTATGGCTTCCTTCCACTTTGCTGTAGAAAGAAATGGGAAACGCTCAATTGTGGTATGATTTAGTTGAATTAGAAATTTTAACGAATTAATATTCAATAAAGTGAATTGTTTGCGCCGCCAATTGGGCCCTTGTAGAGTTTAAGTTACATTCCATTTGTATATAAATTCATTCAATAATTAACAGAATCAACAAAACGCATAATTAAGTAACACTTCCCTTTCTTGGCTAAAATTTCAGGAATAGAAAAAAAATTTAAAGGAATTTCTAATGCGACTTTGATTGATTTAGAGCAAAATTGATCACTTCCAAGCGGTGGTTCAAATTTCATTAGATCCTACTTTATATATACAATATTTTCATATATTATGTGAGCATTGCTTTTGGAAAACATGTCTTAGAAAGTTTTATTAATCGTTATTTGCTGTCATTGCTGGAGTCAGAGCTTGCAAAACACGATATTTTCTAGAGGAAAATAATTTTTGATTGTTTTGAGGAGCTGCACTGAGTTTGTCATTTTAATAGTTAATAATTTTTGCCTTTCAAAAATTTGTTTTATTTATTTTTCGATTTTTTATGTCATTGATTTGGGCAGTAACAACAAAAACAAACATTCAAATATGTAAAATACAAGCTTGAAAAGTGATTTTAGTATTACGGGTTGACATAGATTTCCTAGTAATTTTAAAAACATTAACAAGAAACAAAAACCATGTTAAAATAATGAAACTTGGATATATTTCGAACTTAGGCAAATTTTATAAATTTAATTGAATACTTTCTTTAAGATCCATTTTAGCCTTTTTCATAATATTTTACTCACTTATTTTGTTTTTATTTTTGTTTATAAAATTAAAACAATATTTGTTGTTAATAAGAAACTGTCCAATTTAGAAAAAAAAAAGTTTAAATCTAAAAGTACACACAACAGATACATTTCTTTCTGCTTGCAAACGTATTTGTTAGCTTTAATTTAAATTAAAAATTCAACATTACATGCATACGTATTTATTGTACAAAATTACAAAGGCGTAGGCCAAACATACATATACTTATCTATAACATATATATATATGTGTTTACAAAGAGTCAGCTGTGTTTTGAGTGGATTTTCTTACAAAAAGTACTGCTTGATATTTTGTAAAACTGTATTAAAAATACATATATGCATACCTACTAATATTTGCTTATGTCCATCATATATGCCGCTTTGTGAGAGAATATCGCAAACACGAGACAAAACATATTAATAACTGTTGAATAAATTGCAAATTAACACATAAATTATTACATATTTATGTATATGAGTATGTAAAACGAGGGAGATGATGATAGTCATTTGAAGTCAATGCAGAACGAGATAATAATTCGTATTTGTACTTGTATTTTAGCGAAAATGTGTTTAAAAAAAGCGTAGAGTATGAGAAGGGAGCGCAGTGGAGTGGATAAAGCTTTACAGCAACAAACAATCGTCGCAATGAAATATTGTAATGGCGCTGTGTCATATGCAATAAGGCGATATGCGAGTTCCACTCCTGCAAATATTTTATTAAGTTTAATATTGTGTCAATAACTACTTTATTACTGTTATATCAGTGAACTACTTTTTTCTCAACATATCGTTAATTGTACGAGATTTATAATTAGGTTTGTTAATTCTGTGTTTCTTTTCCTTTTTTTTATTTTTGTGTTTGCGAACACCAAAACTGTTTGTGTAATTAAAAATTAAAAAAGCTACTTTCCGATAATCAATTCGATTGAAATGTAATTATTGCTAATTTTAAGATATATTAAAATTCATTTAATTGTAATTAACCGTTAAATACAAAGAGGGGATCGGAGTGGAGAGGAGAGTAGCAACCAAGTGAAAAAATATATTGAAAATAAAAGCAAAACAAAATACAATTGATCACATGATAAATTTTAAATGATAATTATTAAACATACATACATACATACACAGAAATGCATAAATACATAACTGTAAATGCAAATATTAATTGATAGTATTGACAAAGATTTGTACTATTACAAGATACGAAAAGAAAAAAATTAAATGAAAATAAAAATAAAAACAATAAACATTTAAATTGATTTAATTAAAATTAAAATTTCTCTTTTTATTCTTTCTTCTTCCACAATCATCATCAATGGCAAATTTTCTCACCGCTGAACATAGTGCGAGAAAAATAGAGTACGGTCGCTGGAAGTCTTTTACATACATATGTGTGTATGTGGTTCATAAAATATTTTCATTCTACATATTTAGTAATTTTGAAATAGTGAAGAATATCTAACATTTGCGACTACCGAATAATATCGGCATATCTACTATTCGTTGGGAGATATTTTCAAATTAGTCGAAGGAGTCATATGCTGGCCTCATAAACTACTTTCTTTTATTAACTAACTAATAGTTAAGACGATAGTATCAGATAGTAATATTTTACTTCAGAATTTCAGGTTAGCGGGTTTGGGTTTCATTAATTCTGAAAGAAAAGTAAAATATTGTAAGACTTCGGTTTCTTATATCACTGGAATCTTATATGATAGTCATGAACTCATAGTCAGACTTCGAGTTATTTGTCAGAAAAAAAAATTTAATTCTATTAAGTTAAGGAATTTTCGTTCCAAGCGAATTTTACACACAAGCCGCTTGAAGGAGATAGTAGTTGGAAATCCAACCCAAGTTTGATTATTTAATTTTTCTATATACATTTCTTTTTCAACATTCTCATAGTGACAGTGACACCTATCAGATTTCTCAAGTGTTTAGGAAGTAATTAGTGTTGGTACTAATAAGAATCGTCTTTACTTGTATGAGCGCGCCATTGGATTATTAAATTAATCCATTCTTTAACATTGTGTAGTTTGCAACGTAGGTTTTCGTAGATTTAACCAAATAATAAGAAACTTACATATTTCACTCTTTTTTCGCTTCAACTACATTACCATACTATACTTTCTTACTTATAATATCTTCATGCTATACTCATTAGAAGGATGAGAAAATTAAAGTCTTAAAGGAATTATAAAAATGTATTTCTTATTGGCATAAATAATATTTAACATAACATACAAGCACATTTTGTGCTCGAAGATGTATATGGCTCACAGTTGGACAGACCACATGAGTACATAATATTATATTTTTTATTTTTACTCCAAGCAAATTTTGTAAAAAATAATCATTTTATAAATAAATCATAATTTACTAGTAAATTTTGCTTTGTAAGTAAATTTGCCTGAGCGACCATTTTGTGTAGCCAAAGAATGTAAATGTACATTAATGTTAATGCTCACTACAGTCTAACATTTTCTGGTAATAATGATTGACATATAGAGATGTTAATATAAACGAATGGACAGGCTTTCTTAGTATATGTATAATTTGTGGCATGTTGCTTTCAACATATGTTTAAGGAACTCTTCAAAGAGACAAAAAATTTTAACAGAGTAAAAACAAATATATTTGATAAATAAAAAACATTATCGATATATCGTGTATAAGCATTATATACAAAACAATAATTAACCACTAAAAAGAATAATAAAAAACTACGCATTAAAAAGTTTCAGTATTCTAAAGTATTTCTATAAAACTTTTGAGAGTATCTAAAAAAACTTAAGCATAAGAATGTAGACCCAAAATGTTAGAAATATAAAAGAGGGTTTCTAAAAATATTTTCACTAAAGCAAAGTGCACAGGTGTAGCTATGAAGGTTTAAATCACTAACACATATGTAAATATATTCTAAAAGAAAAAAAAAAAGAAAAAAAAAACAATTAAAATAAGCAAAATTGTGATTATGAGTGGATGTAGTTGAAATCAACCGGACCGACCTTAGAATAAATGGAGAATATTATGTTTGCTTTTTGAAGCTGTCTGTCTTCAACCACTATGCGCTTAGCCTTAGTTAGCATATAACGAGCCTAAGATTTTGTTCGCTTTTCATGGTCGATTCGTTTTTGTTGTGTTGATATGTATTAGAACACAAATTGTGTCCTCAAAATCTGAAGTTGAGTACTCAAAAATGGGTGGTTTTTGAAAATTATTGTGAAAATGAAAGGAATTCAAATAAACTGTCGGTCTTTGGATTGGAAAGCCATACTAAGGACTGTCTGACAGTCTGGCTGGTTCCCATATTAAAAAAAGGAAACAAATAAAATAATAATTATTGAGAACAATTTGAAAACTGTTCTAAATACTTTGACGGGTATTTTGCTACAAAACACAAACTATTATTTTTATACTTCTATCTCTATAAAGTATAATATTAAGATGACGTTTAGAGAGAGCTTACCATTTCGAACTCCTCAAGTGGTTTTTGAAAATTAAAATATTAGAAGAAGCAATACCCAAATAAAATGTAGAGGCTTGAATTATAGCGAAGCTAATTGATATGTGGGCTGAAGTATCGAAAGTTCGTTAGAACACCATAAAACGCACAAAAACTGTACGCCGGTGTTTTTGTAAAAGCAATTTGATAAGAGCAGTGAGGTAAGAAGTGACACAAGAAAACGTAAATAATTTTAATGATGGCAATTTACATGATTTGTATACAAAAATTGACAACTGTTGGCGATTGTCCTGTAAAAGTATTTAATCCTTTTCTATGAAAGCAAATAGATTGCGAAAATTGCAAAAACAAATTAGAAGAGTTCGTGTTGTAATACATCTCTACTGTATGAATATTCAACAAAATAAAATGAGTATGTATTAAATATTACACAACAGCAATAACAATAACAAAATAATAAATGAAAATTAATGAAAAATACACAAATGTAAGGAAAGTGAATAAGAAACGCATTAAACAAAAATAAAAATAAAATATACATATATTAACTGGACGCATTTGTGGAGTTGTTTTCTTATAAATGAATGAAAAATAAAATCAAAGTTAACATAAAAATTAATTCGGTAGGTGTTCGGCTTTATTTGTCCTCGTCGCCCTTCAGTTATCCGAAGCCAACTGAAAACTCCGAAATCTGATGCGTATTAATATTTTCGAGTTTTTGAGAGAATTCTGCGCTCAGTGCTCATACGATCTGACAGATTTTCATAGAAAAGATGCTTTTTATTTAATTGGATGTAATAAGATGCTGTTTCTGAAGTTGAAATTTAATAGCGAAAGTCCGCTCACTGTAAATACCTATTTTAAAGTTCCATTTGTTAATTACAGCCAATTTGTTTTTCGCCTATAACAACTGTTGTAATACAATACCTTGAAAATTAGTGCAATATGTACATATGTACTTATACTTACTTGTATAGGTATGTATCATATACTTACAATATATGCATATACTTATATGGCTGAACCATATTTAATGAAAAAGTGCTGTAGTTAAAACATACAAAGCACCCTATATTGCACTTCAAACATTTACACGATATGACACGATGTAAGGTGACCCGATAAAGTCCCAAACGTACACCCATTATGTAACTGGAGTAGTGGCCGACTGCCCATCTTCTTGCAACCATTGTGATAGTGTAGAAGCATTGTTTTCGTGCTAAGATAGGTTTTCGGTTACCACAAAGATTCTAGATCGGAAAGATTATGAACTATTTTGTTATGAGCCCAAAATTTACTGACATTGGTTAACCTCGCATTTAGTAACCACTCCGCTCACTTCAAGGATTAATCTATATACTCGTAACTACCGATTCAAATAGAAACGAACTTTTGTTCCGCTCTGTTTTTTCAAAATTTTCGCTTATCAATTTGCAACTTTGTTGTGACTTACCAGAAACATTTACAGCAACAAATAAAAAATCACTAAGACAATTAGTAATTCCTAAACTAGACGAAGTTCTTACCATACATACATACATACAAGTATGAATGAATGAATGCCTAAAATACCGGTTTGCCTTCGACGCTCGCCTAATGTTCTTTCCGTGTTTACAATTCGATCCGCTCGCAGATCATGCAATGTTTTGCATACCTTTGCACACACACACAGACTAAACACTTTTTCGGCATCCATAGGTGCCGTCACACATCTTATTCGGAGCGGTAGTGCTTCCCCTACGCGCTTTCGTGGAAATGAAGTCGACGTCAAAGAATCTCCTAAATACATATTAATCCCTAGCAATGCAGATTTGTTTCATTACTTTATTCAAAGTTAATTAACCGCAAAACAGCTGAGGTAATTCCCCACAAATGTTCGCTCGGCTGCACAGATCCGTTTATATACGGAGGTTGCCGATAAGGCGCAGTGACTGCTTATCACTAGCCACAAGAGCAATCGACAAAGCTCGATTTGAAGTGTATTTAAGTGGCAAAAGTGGCAGCGGCAGATCAGTCAAACACTTGACGCCGTAGAAAAGTCAGCGCTCGCATTCGTAAATATTTTTCTGAATTCTACTTAAAAATGGCACGTCTACTGTGTTTCGTGTTTTTGGGGATCGGTAAGCAGAAATTTGTTGCTTTTGATTTCTAAACATTTGCAAAAAATTAACAAATTTACTTCCTTCTCAGCGCTTCCCGCCTGTTTTGCGCTCAGGATCCAGCCACGCAGCTCCTGGAACGCGGCGCCTGCTCGCTCACCCGCACGCATACCCGGCAAGGTCGACTATGTCATCATTCATCATTCCGACATTCCGAATGCCTGCAGCACCGAGACGGAATGCAAGCGCTTCATCAAGAACATTCAGACCGATCACAAGGAGCGCCGCAAGTTTAGCGATATTGGCTACAACTTTATAATTGCCGGCGATGGCAGTATCTACGAGGGCCGTGGCTTCGGCTTGCAGGGCGCGCACGCACCCAACTACAACCGCAACAGCATTGGCGTTGTCTTCATCGGCAACTTTGAAAGTGAGTGCCCATGAAATGAGAGGGAAAGGCTTTAGTTGATTCACAAATTTCGTTCGTTCGCTTTCAGATACGACACCCTCTCAAACGATGTTGCAGAACGCCAAAGACCTGATGGCACATGCGGTGCAAAAGGGTTATTTGAAGGATAATTACACAGTGCTGGGTCACAGACAAACCAAGGCGACCACCTGCCCGGGACAGCGTTTGTACGACGAAATCAAAACATGGCCCCATTGGAAGAGGCTCTGAATTCTGCTGTCGATGGCATTATAATTGGGGTTTCGTAGTGTCAAACACAGTGATGAAAATTATTGTATTTTATATAATTATAACTATTATAAAGCTAATTAGTTAAAGAGAGATAAGACATTTGCCTAATTGCGTAAGTCGCCAGTCAGAGGTGAGAGAAGTCAGATTTCATGTTTTGAGGTCCAACACTAGCAACGAATCTAAGAATATATGTACCTATGTACATAGCCTACCAGTTGGGATGATATGGTAGATAAGGAGATGTGTGCGTTGAGTCCGTGTTTACCAGCCGGCGTTTTGTTGGTTCGTCAGAGGCAAAAAGAGAAGAAAATGTTGAAAGTTATATCCACTAGCGAATTTCAAACCATGAATTTTGTTTTCATATATAATATATAGAATGTACACATATTTGAAAATATTCTCCGAACAGTGTTAGATGACCCGTCTAATGGTTTCGGAGATATGAGAGAGATTAATGTAATCGGCTCCCGAAACCCGAAGGCGCATTTTTTTCAAAAATCAATTCACCTCGCATTCAGATTCTTATTATGATCTCGAGTTGTTTATTCTTACAATTATGAAGTAATAAATATTTTCATTGTAATTTATAAATCCAGCGACTCTGAAACTGTTGCAAAAATGTTTGCAACGTCTTTGTGGTGGCTTCCAAACCGCCGGAACTTGTATCACAATTGCAGCGCCACTGTGAAATTTCGTATTTTTATATTCCACAAACTGTTTTAGCACAGACAACAGCCGGCAAAGACGCCTAAGCTTCTAAACTGCTGAGTTATGTACGGTACGTATGAAAATTTTAATTTAATCCATCCCATAAATCCATATAATAAATTATTAATTCTTACTTATATCTCAAATGCTATTAAAATAGTTTTTGAGTTTAAGGCTTCTAATCAGTTTATCTTTAAACGCGTTTTTCTCAAAACTTCATTTCATATTCTGTAAGTTCTCTATTGAATCACCTACCAGCTATTTTATCTATTTAAAAATCAAATTTTTGCTAGGCAAAAACAATCAAAGTTCTCAATTTTTGGTATACTTCTTCTTCAGAAATTTTGCTGTTTTTTTTACTATGTATAAATATACGCTTAAAATTTTCAAATAATTGATACAGTATTTTTTTTAAATTTCCAAAATCGCATTATTTAGGCTGTCACACTAGGTGTGCCTCTTAAAGTAAGTAAGTTTGAATATTTCTGGTATTCTGAAAATGATAAAAACGATAATTCTACTATTTCACACAAAATATTCAATCATTTCATCTTTGCTTTTAATTCAATAAAGCTTGCTCTATTGCAACAATGAATGAAATGTTTGCATTATATATATATTCATATCGGTTGCAGCTTATTCTCGCTGTTACAGCTTCGTTTAATTGCAAAGCACTCACCGAGAAACCAATATGATTTAATAATAAAATAGCATTGCACAAAGGCTTTACAATTCTTTGGTTTGTGGTGATTTGTTTTGACTTGTTTCGTATGCGGCACACGACGTCGAAACGCACTCCGAATAAGCTCGCAAAGCTTGTAAATTCTAGCCGCAGCACTTAGTTGCCATAATTGTTGACAGCTGAAAGTGTTACGGCATGCTTTTATGTGACCAAATGCATGCTCATCAATACTAATCCCACATCAATCAAAACACAACACGCACACAAACACACACACACTCTCACATGCATATTCGCATGCACCGAATGTTAGATAACTCATCTCTGCATGCAAATGCAATGGCAACAATAGAGTGCACTGTGGCTTGGGGAGTCTAAATTTTAGATAAATGCGAAAATCGTAAACTCAATCCGAAAATACTGTGAATAATACACATAATTGCAAAATAATGACAAAAACATTGGAAAACTACTGGAACACCTGATGCTATGCTACAGTGTGGGAACATTGGAGAATGCTTTACAGACCTAAGCAGTTTTCGATGGAAACTCACCAAGTATAGAGCCTGCAAGTATTGGGCCAGATGGCTGCAGCTTTGGCTAGCGTTAACACATTCCGAAATAGAAACCTTTTTTAAACCATTTGGTTTGCGGAGCATTTGTGCTTATGAGAAAAGAAGACAAATTATGGACTCTAATATTAAGTATGCTTTTGCGCTCATGGCATAAAGACACTTTAAACATTCGTTTTTGTGTTTCGAAAAATCTTCATGACTCTGGAATCTTATATACCATTATTCCTTGAGATAAGCCGGTGCAGTAAAAAATTATAAAATTCAAAATGCTCCGTCGATCATTACAAATATACCAGAAGCTATGGAGATCATGAGTTCTCAATCGGCCTTAAAACAGTCAAGTAAGACAATTTGTTCGTACGACTTTTGCTATATTTGACTTTGGATTCCGACCATCCTCACTAAACTTGTACATACTTGTATGTATGTACATTACACATACACATATTTCATCTTTATCTCTAATTAAGATATTTGATCAGAATCCTTGAGACGACTAAATGAATTTGCTATTTATTGAAAATGAGAGGAGTCTTGGCTGTATGCTGTATCCATTTTCAGAATATTGGTGACTTTCAATTTAATTTTTGCAAAACGCTATTTGAGAGAGATTACCAGTGATGTAAATGTGATATTTATATTTAATTTTTTTTGTTTTTTATTCAGAGAAACCTTGCTAAAAGACTTTCATTGAAAAAATTGCAATATATTTGGCTGACAATTTTTATCAGTTTTTGAGCTGAAAAACGGTTCTTGGCACCACAGTGTACTGAGACTACAACCGAGCGTCAGATTCATACGCCACGCCAAACCAACTACACATCCGAACACCGAAGTTTGTCTGTATAACTGTGTGAATGTGTGGCGCGGGCGCTCATTTAAGCGAAATCAAAATATTGTGTGCGATTTATGTTGATATGCATAAATATTTTGGATATCAGCAGTTTACAAATTTGCTTTCCGATTGCAAATATGACAGCTGCAGCGATACGTGCTCAGCATGAGATGAGCGCGCAAAGCGTGTGCAACCGAGTAATGGACGGAGCAACAAGTTCATTCAAATTGCTTGCAACACCACTCCAAATGTGTAACAAATGCATGTGATTGCATGGCATTACGCAGCACTTCCAGCACTTCGATCGCATTCGATTGGAAAGGAAATAGTTGCCATGCAATATGCATGAGGCAGCAACAAACGCGCTCTATGCAAATACTTCACAGAGTGTGCCAGTGTATGTGTGTGTGTGTGGTTGTAGTAATTTCAAATGCACTCATTTTGATTTATTTCACACATGCATGGATTCACACACACACACACACATATACATATATATGCGCTTGCGACGGTAGTGTTGCTGTGCCCATTTAGAGGATGTGTGTGGTGGGGCGTATGAGCAACGCGCTATGAAAATCCGATGATTTGTAGTATAAAATGTGCAGTGACCAAGTGCGCGCCATTGCAGTAGCCAAAGCGCCGCGCCAGCAGTCGCAAATCACGAAAAGCACACCCGCGCGTCAACAACTCCTAAAATTATGAAAAATGTAAGTGTTAAATTTTATGGTTCAAAAATCAACTGAATTACTCAATTTCACCATTTCAATTTTCACTTTTCACTTCCCCCCACCGCACGCAGCTCATTTTTTTGCTCTGCTGCAGTGCTCTCCTGCACTACATCGGCAGCGCTGTGGCAAAGCCGGCCCCTCATGGCATCACCACCACCGTCGCACGCACACCCGCTGTCCTGCCCGCGCCCACTTACACGGTCGCTGTGACGCCCGTCGTCACGGCGCATAGCCATCAAGTGGTCGCGCATAACTACAATGGACTCTACGTGCCCGCCGGTTATGCGGCCGCCAGCTATGTGCCAGCCGTGTATCCCTATTCCTATCCAGCGACGACCTACCGCTACGGTTACGGTTATTACCCGGCTTACGGCTATACTTATGGCTATGGCACCGCTGTGCCGACGGCCTTGTGGCGGTGATGTGTTAACGCTAATATGCACAAAGCTCATGCGGGCGCGAGCCGGTGCCTGTATGCGTGTGTGGGTGTATGAGTGTGTGAGTGTCTGCGTGCGGTGAAGAGCGGATTTGCCAGGATACGCGCTGCTGAGTTGATGAGTTTCAGTTTGTTTTATGTAACGGTGAAGCAGCCGCTTGATGTGGACTCTTATCTGCAATATTTTTGCACTTGGCTTGATGTGGCAGGACAACCGGTTCATGAGCGACCGTGCAACGTGTGGGCTTTAAACCAGCGCGACGACGTGGCGCGTGTGTCGTTTGGTGGGGCATGCAATCTCTGTGGCAGGCAGTGGCTAAATACGATGTTATGAAATATGTACTCACACGCACTCATACACACTTGTATATGTTAAATATTTTGCATTTAAATAAATAACTGTAAACGTACTAAGCAACGCACACACATATTAAGACAGAGGCTGGGGAGGCTGTGGCGAATGGGTTGACATAATTGCTTGTTGTTTTGTTAAAGTCTCAAAATTTATTTATTTTATGAAACTTTGGTGCCATCATTCTTATAAAATTTTGTAATGAGAGATAGTGGTTGAACAAGAAATCAATATCTGTGGTTACTTTTCTTTCACCTATTGAGGTACAAGTAGAATCTTACCACGTTCAACGAGCTCGAACAACACCGAATTGGAATTTTTATGGAGCACATAAACCCACTAAGAACGTAAAGATACCAGCTTGTATCTCAAAATATTCACTTTCAAACGACGAAGGTTAAACATTTCAGAATAAGTTCTGTTTCATTACTTTAAAAACTCACAAAAAGCTTGTAAACATCGAGGACGAGACGAACAACTTGAGATCACTAATATTACAGAGAATAAAGTATGGCTATCCTCTCATTGCGTAGGACAGGACTCACATACTCTCGCGTGTAAATGCTTAAGTTTTTATAGTTCGCCAAAGCAGTAACCAATTATATCTTCAGAATATATATAGCATTTATTTTACAACGGTAAACATGTCAGTCTTTTGTTATATTCATTACTCTATTCTTACCACAAAAGCGGTGCAGCTAAAGGAGCAGCAGCATAGCGGGCGACGAGTGGAGCACCGCCCAATGGAGCAGGCAACGGCGCGGCGGCAGCGTAATGGGCCACCAAGGGGGCAGCTACTGGGGCGGCAGCAATAATCGGCGCAGCGGCGATGCCATTGTAATTGCGAGCGATCACCTGACTGCTGGTGGCGGTCACCACTGGGACAGCGGCGGCAACAACACCGGCGGGAGCGGTATAAGCCAATGGAGCGGCAGTAAGGAGACCGGATTTGGCGGCGGCACAGGCGATGAGAGCGAAAAGAACAACGGCCTGTTTAGAAAGGAAGAGAATGAACATATGAACATGGGCAATTAAGTAAGACATGATGTTAGCCAAATGATGCTTTGGCGTAAATACTTTGAGTATATGCCTTGGCTGAGCTGAGCTGCGTCTTGAACTTTAGTTGAAAGCTGTCTGATGTCATTTTGTATACTGTGCACAATTTTTATATCCAAAAGCAAAGCAATCAACTTTGCGAAAAACCGCTGTTTTTGTTTTCCCTATTTTTCAAGTTCAACACAGTTGCCCTTCAAATAATGCAATACAATTATAAATTGCTTGTTAAAGTAAAAATGCCACTGAATTTGACCACACAATTATTTGGACAATCTTCATTGCAATTCAATGTCACATTTGTATTTTTCCTTGTAGTTCGTTGTTCGTTGTTCGGGTTTTGATTTATATTTTTGAACTAAATTAAAATGCACACACGCAATCCATTGTAAATAACCCGAAAACTTGTTATGCGCAGGTGCGAAGCGCCGAGGCACGCCCGCCGAGTTTGTGACTCGATTTTTTACAACTTTGTTTTGGTTTTGTGTTTAGTCCTGTTGAAATTTGATGAGTAATTAAAAGTTACCGCAAACAATAACATTTGTCTGTACAAAAATCAGCTTGGCATAAATTTGTATGTATAAAAGTCGAAGTGAATTGCAAATATTGCCTAAACCAGAATTTCATTTCC